AAATTTGTTAATTTTGCTCAGTTTTCATTGTAGAGTACATCATTGGTTACTAATCCCTCCCCCCCCCCCCCCCCCCCTCACCAAAAAAAATAAAAATAAAAAGAGAATTAAAGAAATACTTATATTGATCCGTACTTTATACAAAATATTAAATGATAGGTACATATATAAAAATATATAGAATATAACTAAATTTGATATGACAAAATATATATATATATATATATCATACCATTTATATATGATAACTATTTGAACTAATAGATGGTGGTTCATGTGTTGATAAATGCTAGAAAAATTTTATCAATATATATATGCACACACAAGTAATACCATTCTTTTTCTTTTAATAATTAATATTGTTACAAAATTCTGGGGTAATAAAATGTGTCTATTTTATAAAATAGCATACAAAAGATACAAATATAACATTTGCAACATTTAAGTTCAACTAAAATCACATGAAATTATTGGCTATTAATTAACAAAATTTTACCAAGTTATGTGTAAGTACGGAGGTCATATATATATTATATATATCAAGTTAGAATTTAAATACGATTTTATTATACTTATTTGCACAATGTACCTAGATTTATATATTTTTACACTTTACACCTTAACATTATATTATTTTTTACTTTATTTTGGTGTAAAATATAAAAAAACATAATTTTAAAGTGCATTATGTAAATCATCAAATTTTATTATTCTTATTTTCCTTATTGTGTTTGTATAATGGCACGAGACTGAGATAAACTTCACATAAAAATTTCCTATTTGTCCCCAAAATTCAACGTTGCAATTAATTTACAATTGGAAGATAATATAGAGAATCCTCCAAACGCTCATGTCCTTCCACACTCACTCATGTCAGAACAAGGATTATTTGCTAAAGTAGTCGTACTTTTCTTTGTATATACGTAGAAGTTTGACGACTAGGCAACACAGAAGGATAGAATCACATCCTTTTCTATGCTGCACATTAAGTACAGCTACTTCCTTCCCTGTCTCGTCACCTAGTCGGAAGGCTAAGAGGAGATTGGACTAAGCAACAGGGTTATTGCATTTTTCATGTGCTATTTCAGTCTTAATTATTTAATCAATATGTGATATTGTCAAACTAATTTGGCATTTCTGATTTGTATAGTCTCTCACATTCAACAAGAAGTTAATATTTGTGTAGATTTCCTTGTCAAATTTGGAATCAAGTATAATGTTACTCTTTCTACTTTGAACGGGCTCTTGGCTCTTAGACCTCTTTTAGTGTTTCTTCGATAATTTTTTCTTTTTATTCACAATTTATACTAAACAAAAATCAATATTTGGTTATGTCAGGGCCCCAACCCAGACCCTGACTGGCACTAGGGTCCCCGACCCTAGTCAGCCTTACCATCGCAAACATATATCAAAACTAACCCAAACATTTATATATATACATTTCAAAACCGTCATTTACAAGTCAGGATCCTACCCGAGTGATAAAAGGAGCTCTAGAGTACAAAACAGTTAAACAAAGAACTCGCCCGTACATCAAATGAAGTGACAAATGACCGTCTCAATCCTGGCACGCACCACGAGAACAACAACCTATATCTGGAAAGTTTATAAAAAGTGAGTCATGAAACTCAGTGAGTATGGATGATACCTACTCTATGCATGTTAGAATATGCATCATGTCACAATTCAAACCATACTGACATATACAGCAATTAATAACACATCAACTATACTCTGAAAGACACCGCTAACCACGCATCACATCACATCACATCACATCATATCACATCAATTCACATCACAACACTGGACCCAGGTCTACTCACCACTAGACACTATGGATCATCGTACCCCAGCCGAGTTCCTGGCATTGCAGTTACCTCACCCGAACTAGGCCGCTCACCATTGGACGCTACGGACCGTACTCCAGCCGAGTTCCTGGCATCACTAGTAACTCGCCCAACCCAGGCCGCTCACCACTGGACCCTACGGATCTGTACTCTAGCCGAGTTAATGGCATCCCCACATCACATCACACAAATACCATCCTCACACGTAAGTTAAACCAAGTACACATACACACACTAAATCCACATCTCCCAAATCAGTGGTACATACTAATATAGTCTACTAACAGTTCACAAAACACATAACACATATTCTAAGATTCATATATCAAACACAGTCTCGCAAATCCATGTAGACACCATGTTAGAAAACAAGTATGAAATATATGTATGGAGGAGGTATCATCATTCACAGTGTAGGCCGAATCTAAAAAAAGCCTCGGGTCACGTCAATCAACCCTTCGGTCCCGGTGCTCCTCCAGGGTGAACCTGAAGTCAAAACCATACAAAACCATCACCAATCTTATCGTCAATACCCAAACAGCTTGACAGCCCAAGACGGGACTTAAATCCCATTCCCGTACCTGACACGCATCCTGAGACACCCCAACCCATCACTGGATCCTGCGCGACTCACTAACACTCACACTTCGGCTCAACAACCATTAACAGTAAAAGACCAGTCTCCACAACTTCCAACCCATAGCGAACCGGTCTCCGAAACCCCCGAACTAGCCTATCTGATCCCAAAACTACCTCGAACTCAACTCGATTGGCCACAAAACCCTCAAAAATGGATTCAGAAGGCTTGAAAACCTTAGGAACCAAACTAACCTGGCCAAAAACCTTTAAGGTTAGGCCGAACCGGGCTAAAAACCCTAATTCTATGCATCGGCACGCAAATCGAGGCTGAATCCAGAACCGGTCCATCTTCTCAAATCCGAGCCCATTTGACCACTGAACTGGCCAGTCAAACCTTGAATCGGTTCTGGCCTGTTCAGTCAACTCCAAAACCCTAATCTTCCAATCTTGGATTATACTATCCCCTGCTATCCTCAATCTAACCTTATCCCTGATTCCTTATCCCCCTGGGTTTGCTATTCTAATTTCCCTCTTCTGGGTCAACTCGGCTGAGCTGACCCAGCCCATTTCTTCACTAGGCCGAGTCGACTTATCCCAGCCTCACACGGGCTGGCCCGCGGCTCAGCCTGCGGGCATGATGCAAATTTGGGCCGGGCCGGCCCAGTACAGGGACCTAGACCTATCCGGGTCCTTTACCTGCTACCCGAGCCAGTGTCTGGGTTTGTAACAGACCTGGACTGTGGCAACCTTCCTGGGCTGGCCGCAGCTCAGCCCGCGGGCCTGAAGCAAATCTAGCCGAGCCCAAGCCTAACAAGCCGGGCCGGCCCAGCACAGGGACCCGGACCCATCCGGGTCCTTCCCTGCTACCCGAGCCAGCGTTCAAGTCTGTAACAGACCTGGACTGTGGCAACCTCCCTGGGCTGGCCCGTGGCTTAGCCCGCGGGCCGCCCAGCTCGTTCGGCCCAAGCCCTGGGCCCAGCAGGGCGGGCTAACCCTGACTAAGGACCCGGACCCATCCGGGTCCTTTCTTCCTCGCCCAAACCCCCACACCCAGAACTCGACTACCTTGTACCAAAACCCGAAATCAAGAAAAGAAGAAAACAGAAAAATCGGAACTCACCTGGTTCGATTGAAGGTCAATACAACCAGACGACTTCCGCGAGCTTCACCAAGCCAATTAATCGAAGAGAAACGAGCCGAATCACCTCAAATTTTCAAAGAAAAACCAGTTCTCATACGGATGCCAACCGAACCCAAAAGCCCCGAATTCTCTCCCTTCTCTCCCGAAACCTCTAAATTAACCGAGGGCTTCACTAGGTTTTCTAAAAACGCACGCAATGGTGCAAGAATCCACATAAAACAATCATCCTAGGACCAGTCAATTCGGCAAGAACCGTCGGTCGGGCACTGTTCATGCCGAATTTCTGAATAATCACAAATTTAGTCCCTCAAGTTTAATACATTCTTCAATCCAGTCCTCCTTATTTTCTGTTATGTTCAATTTAGTCCAAAATTAATTAATTAAAATATAAAAAATCAGGTTATTATAGTTTAAGTCAATAATAAAAAATGTATTCTAGTCCTTGCCGAAAGACTTTGAGATAAGATTATTGTATTTCATCCAACAACTAATATCAAGTGAGTCCAATCTATTCAACAAATTCAGAATGCAGTGATGAAATGCATTCTCTTTAAATCTTTAGTTTATCTGATAAGATGAAAAGTGTAACACCAACAACTTATTTAATTTTTAAACTTAAGGCCATCCCAATTACAGAGACTTAGTGGGTCCAATTGATTCATAAATTTTAATTTCTGTTCTTTTTCTCTAACTATAATAGAATATGATTTATTAATATACATGCATATTCACTTGATTTCACAGTGGTGGTTATGTAGTAAGGCTCAATTTCTCGGGCATTTACTTACATAGTCAATTTACTTATAAAATTAGCAGTTTAGATTCCCTTCCTATGTACAAAATTCACCCCAAGTTATTAGCCAAAAAATATTGATTGAATTTGAATTAAGTAACCATTGAATGCTGATATTGCCACGAGGTTCGGACATCAACAAATCGCGCGAATCAGTTACCGTGGATTAAAAAGGATGAAGAGAGTCAAAAACCACTGTATATGTACACATGGATATGTGGAGAGAAAAAGGGGAGGGTGGCGTATGTGCAAGCATCGGCACATAGCCTTCTTCAATCACCCACTTTAGAGACACCTCATCTCGGCTCGTCCCTTTAAAAAGCGTACAGAAGATAGCCCCCAATTCACAAAATATATATAGCTAAAAATACCGTCACAATTCATTCATTCACTCCAACAAACAAAAAGCATTGAAATTCTGCCGTTCTCTTCTCCCTCTCTCTCTCTCTCTTCTCTCTCTCTCTGTATCTATCCTCAATTTTCCGATCACAATCCTTGTTATAATCCTTTGAATCGTTTGTTTTTGATAAAATAATCGCCAAGAGTGCTTTGATCGGATACTTTTTCCGTACACCTCAATTTGATCTAAATCGCTGCTCTTTCTGCGGAATTCATCGACCAATTTGACTGGTTCCGCATGGGTTTTGAGGAATTTTGGATTTCGATTACATGTAAATGTCCAGATTTACCAGTAATACAGTGAGATTGTGTCCTGTTATTTATTTTTAAGTTATTAGATAATTTCAGCTTTACTTGATTTCATCTGTCACGTTATGGGATGGAATATACTTGTTTATAAAATTGTGTGATGCTTTGACCTTTGGCCCGTTGAAAGATCGATTTTACCTTTTGTTTTTGTGGTTGATTCCCTTCAGGAATCGTTTCTAACTGGAATCTCTGTTCTGGGTTTATATACGATTGGTTTTTTCTGATTTTTTCCCTTATCTGAACCAGTGGGTCTTATTTTCTAAATTAAAGCATGTTATTTGCTGTGGAAGATCTTTTCTTTTGGGTTTCTTTTGGGTCAGGAATATCCATTGTTGTAGGATTTAAAATTTCTTCATTGAGAGTTACCTTGTTTTTGTCTATCCGTCGTTTCTCACTCCGATTTTCTAGTTTTGATCACATTTGTATGAACCATTAACGGCCCACAACTGTATATGTGGATTTCTATTTTCTTCTGGATCATCTTAGTTGAGTTTGCTTTTCTTTCTTCTGAGCACGAAACCTTATCTTCGTTCCGTTTATATGTTTACTTTTTTATCCTGGATGGTTATTTTATTAGTTTAAGCACTCTGTTATTTAGCCTATGTAAATTTAGTTTTAATCAATTTAGTATATATGGTTTGGTTGTTTCTAAATCGTTCGCTTCATCTAGTAACCCTCTACTATATATCATGTGTCTTATCATAATGTGTTCCCTTTGTAGGTGTCATATCTGAGATTCTGTGACCTGCACATAATCTAAGGTAATACTTCTGCGTATGACTCTTAGTTGTACATTAAATTAGTTGGAGAGTAGGAAGCTTGGACTTGCTTTTGGTCACTTGGAGTTTGGATTTACGCGTTCTACTTTTATTCCTTAAAAGCTCAAAAGTCTGGCCTTCTAACCTGGAAGCCCAGAAGCTATAATATGAGCCTGCAGGCTTTTCGGGCTTGAAAGTGACTACTATGCCAATGATCAGGTGACCTTCTATCCGTATCTACAGTTTGGATCAACGTAGGGATATTTACGTTTCAGATACCAGCTCCCAGATCTCTCGCCTAGGGGCACTGCACACGTTTAAGCAGTGCCCATGGACACGTCGGCTAGTGGAACTCCTGCTATTCAATTCTGTAATATCCCAGATCAAGCCCTTGCAGCCGTTGTCACTTCCAGCATACCCACATTTCCAAGACAACAACGGCATTGCTTGGGGACACCAGTCCCGGAGAGTTTCCCTTGTCCGCCAATCCCTCCATTGTTCTTCATGTCCTTACGGGGTGTAACTTGGATCCTTATGATCTCGCCAGACTAGAGGCAAGTGTGACCTTTTCTTTCCCTTCCTATAATGAGGCCCTGTTTTGGTTGCTTGCTTTCTGGGACTGTTTGGCTTTCCAGGCTTTTGAGCTTAAAAGTGACTACTGATAGCCCAGATAGTGAAGCCACCAAACAGGGCAAATCTCCTTAGCAATGTTAGAATTGATGGTGCTTCTGATTGAATATAAATGGTGTGTTGTGCAGGCAACATGTTCCTCTTCAGCAGCCTGCACAATTTGCCCCGATCATGAGTTGTGCTTACCAGAGCTCGCTGCTCTTGACATGTGCCAAAAGAGAGCCATATTCAGACCAATGATGGCCGAAGAACGCCAAGAAGACTGAAACAAAGATGTGGGGGTTCCTGGAAACTGGTGCTGAGATTCTTGCTGGCTGGAGAAGCTTGTTCAAGGCGAGAAAAATCACAAGCCATTGCAGGACCTGGTCACAGTATTGCTGTGACTTCAAATGGAGTGTCTATTCGTTTGGCTCTAACAGCTCAGGACAGCTTGGGCACGGGACTACAGAAGAGGAATCTCGGCCCCGTCAAATCAGGTGTCTAACTGTTGGGATTTGTATTCTGTTTTCAGTTCCCATTATGGTTCTGTTGAAAAACTTGAAACTCATTTTTTTTTAATTTTCAAGAAAAAATAATTTCTAGGAATTTAAAAAATAACTTTTTGATATTCTCTAAAAGTGGGTCTATTTTCTTAAAATATTCTTGATTCTGAAAATTGACTTGCTGAAACTGTTATCTATTTCCAAAAAAATAAAATTATTATAAAAGACATCAAAAGAGGAGAGGTGAGAGCATAGGAGAGTGGTTCGGCTGGAGGAAAATTTTGATGGAGCCCCTTTTGTTGCAGATTTCTTCAAGGCATTCGTATTATTCAAGCAGCCGCCGGGGCTGGCAGAACAATGCTGATTAGTGATGCTGGAAGGTTTTATGCCTTTGGAAAAGACTCTTTCGGGGAAGCTGAGTATGGCGCTCAAGGAAGTAAGCTAGTTACCACTCCACAGTTGGTGGAATCCTTGAAAGAAATATTTGTGGTGCAAGCAGCAATTGGAAATTTCTTCACTGCAGTATTGTCAAGAGAAGGGAGGGTTTATACCTTTTCTTGGGGAAATGAAAGCAAACTTGGTCATCAAACAGAGCAAATGATGTGGAGCCCCATCCTCTGTTGGGAGTACTGGAGAACATACCTGTAGTTCAAATGCAGCTGGATACTGTTACCTTCTTGCTTTGGCTTGTCAGCCTAGTGGCATGTAAGCAGCTTCTTCTTAATTTTTTTCTTGTTGACAAAATCTTTCCAAAAATATTGTTTCATTCAGTGTATAGAGAGTTTTATCGCATTAAAGGCCATACTTGAATTTCAAGAATGATAGCAATAATTTGAAACTCATGGAACCGGGCTCCTTTTTCCATTGATAATACACTTTAAAAACTGATGGTATCCAATGGCTGTTTTTCTATTTCTCCATGGCATGCACTTCTAAATCACCTGCAATTTATTAATTTGTTTGGCATCCCTTTATTTAATTGCCATCTTATCATGGCATTCTCATGGTAACTTACCACATTCAATTACTGCATGACGAATCACATATTCCCCATTTGGAAATATATATCTATTTGGCTTTGTATTCTGTTTTCTATTCACAGTTCTTGCTTTTTGTGTTTTTCAAGAACAAAAGGCACTGAAATCTTGTAAGCTCTATTGTTTTCACATGTTATTATTTTTCAATGAAAATAGTTTTTGAAAATCCTTGAAAACTACTTTTGTTATTTTCTAGAGTTAAAGCCTGTTTTTTGAGAAGTCTTTTTGATAACAGTTTCTGAAATGAACCGCTAAA